CACGTCGATTTGAAGACCGTCGTGAGAACAGACCACCAACTCTCGTCAAGTCAACGCTGTGAACCAGATCCAAGGTATGCAATCAGCTCAGTCTGAATTTGTGGAGTGGATACTTGATTCAGGATCCAGGCAAATGTCTGTGGTGACCTGTCATTGTTTACTACCATAAGGGAAGACCAAGCTAGTCGACTTGACTTTGCGAATGGCACAACTGAACACACTTCTGTTTGTGGGTCTGTGCTATTGCGTGTTGTTAACCAGGCAACTGGCCAGCTCGAGGACCGTCTCATGAGCGACGTGGTGTACACACCGAACGCGAAGGTGAACATCATTAGTTTGGGCTACCTACAAACGAAGGGCAACTTCAAGTTGACATGCTCAGAGGACCAACAAACTGCTTGGATCTCCAAGCCAAGCACATCACTCAAGTTCATGATGCGTGACAGTATCTACCGACTACGTGCAGAAAGAGTGACTGGAGTGATGGTGATGGCGGCTCTAAAAGAGGACATGGACAGCAAGAAAGCCATGGAGCTGCTTCATCAACGATTTGGTCATATGAGCATGGAGACGGTGAAAGTGTTGGCAAACAAACTCGATGTTGGAGTTAAGATGAATGCAAAAGGTCTGACTTCCTACGAGTGCTTTGCTTGTGCTGCCAGTAAGGCGAAAAGAATGTCTTATAAACGGATTCCATCGCGGAAGTCCGAACCTCTGGAGACTCTCATGATGGACATTTGCTCTGTAAACGAACAGTCTTTGGATGGAGCTACAATGTTTCTCTTTATCATCGATGAGTCTACAAGGTACAAGTGGCCGTTCCTACTCAAGAAGAAGAGTGAAGCAACGCTCCACATCAAGGTCCTGCTGAACAGGCTGCGAACTCGCTTTCCTGAGAAGAAGGTGCGACGACTACACTCTGACCAAGGAGGTGAATTTGCAAGCAAGGAACTAAGTGACTACTGCGTCGACCAAGGGATTGAGCAGCAGTTTACGAACGCCTATTCTCCTCAAGAGAAACGGCATTGTGGAGCGTGCTAACGGCGTGGTTCGACCAAGGATCAGAGCGATGCTGATGGCTACACACATGCCCAACTCCTTGTGGGGAGAAGCCTTCCTGCATGTGGTGACGACGTTGAACTGGTTGCCCACCAAGCCCTTAGGATTGGTGTCCCCGCACCAGAAACTGTACGAATCGGAGCCCATGCTGGATGATTTGCGTACTTGGGGCTGTCTGGAACACGTGCGTGTTCCCCCTGAGTCAAGACAAGCGAAAGAAAAGCTGGAAGCAAGGGCAAGACTGTGATTATTACTGGGTTATAGCGAATCGACCCTAGGCTACAAGTTCATTGACCTGGTGACAGCTCAAGTGGTGACAGCTCGTAGTGGGAATGTGAAGTTCCATGAAGAGCTCACGACCGATGGCATCTACATGAAGCATCTATTAGAGAACGCATTCTTTGATGGTGATCATACTCTACTCGAGACTGTACCTGTGGCGCGCATCAAGACCAACATGGAGACGTACCTTCCAGGTTGGAGTGACGGCATCTCTAGTGCGGAGAAGCCACTTGAGGCGGTACCACTTGCTGACGAACCTGCAGAAACTGAGTTAAGTTCAAGTGGGAGTTTGTCAATCGTTGACGCACCTGTGAGCAAGGACAGTGCGGAGACTGCTGGTGTTGCAGCACCAGCCGTGTTGCAGGATCCTGCTGAAGAAACCGAGGATAGTTTGGAAGTGAGGAAGCGCAAGAGACGCAGAACAAAGAAGAAACCTGCAATGGTGGAGAAGGAGACAAGTGGCTTCGAGATTCAACCTCCATCAAGAGAGTCCTGCCTAAAGCGACCAAGAAGGAAGCAGAAGGCGAACGTTCGATTGTCGGATTACGTGGTAGGCCTGGTGCAGGCTATGACTACGGATGTGCAGATTCCGACGACGTACAAACAAGCACGTGCAAGCAAGTACTGGCAGCAGTGGAGAGCTGCAATGTTGGTGGAACTTCAATCGTTGAAGGGTCACAAGACCTGGAAACTTGTACCCCGCAAAGATGCCAAGAAAGTGAAGGTGATAACATGTAGGTGGGTATTTGCTGTGAAGCGAGATGAGCGTGGACGAATCAAACGATTCAAAGCGCGACTAGTGATCCATGGGTTCAAACAACAACTTGGGATTAACTACTCTGAGGCCTATGCACCTGTGATCCGGTTCGAAACCATACGTGCGGCTATCTACTACGCTGTACAAAGAGGTTGGGAGGTGTTGCAATTCGACGTGAAGACGGCTTTTCTGTATGGAGACTTGGACGAGACTATCTTCATGGAGCAGCCTCTTGGCTTCCAGGTGGATGGACCTGGATCCATTTGCAGATTGTTGAAGAGCCTGTACGGACTAAAGCAAGCACCGAACGTTTGGAATCGCACGCTTCATGCGAAGCTTGTTGCGATGGGGTTTACTAGGACGGACTCTGACTACGGCCTATATGCGTTGATGAAGGATGGTGAAGTCAAGTTGCTATTGACTGTTTACGTGGACGATCTACTGCTGATGGGTTCACGTGATTTGTGTGCCACAATCGCTGCCTCACTACAAGAGACATATGAGCTCACGACGATGGGCACAGTCAAATATCTCTTAGGCGTCGAGATCCTGATTGACCGGCCGCGCCGCCAAATAGTGTACTGCCAGAAGCAGTACGTACTGGAGGTGTTGAAGCGTTTTCATATGGAGAACTGTAATGGCTGCGCTACACCAGAAGCTACGACGCCCTCGAAGACAGACGTGCCTGCTTCGAAGGAGTATCTTCCCTACAGAGAACTGGTGGGTGCTCTCCAGTACCTCGTTAGTGCATCGAGACCTGACATAGCTCATGCTACCCGACACCTGGGCAAGTATCTTGCGAGCTATGATCATATGCATTTCGCACAAGCCAAGAGGGTGCTGCGTTACCTGAAGGCTACATGTGACTACGGACTAGTGATGAATGTGAAGCTACAGACTGATGTGCAAGTTAGTGGCTACTCTGATGCTGATTATGCGAACAAATCTGTGGATCGACGGAGTATCAGTGGCTACATCACTATGCTGGACGACAACGTCATCTCCTACGCATCTCGCAAGCAAGAGATCAACGCGCTCAGTACCTGTGAAGCTGAGTACGTAGCAATGGCAGAGGCGACCAAGGACTTGTTGTGGCTTGCTGGCCTATGCAAAGAGTTGAGCTGGAAGCATCCAGTACCTCAACTACTGGGAGACAATCAAGGAGCCATTGCCTTAACTGCGAAACCTGGCAAACATTCGAAATCGAAACATATCGATAACAAGTACCACATGATCAGACGCCATGTGGAGTTGAAGCAGCTTACAACCCAACACATCGGAACTGATGATATGGTGCCCGATATAATGACAAAGGCACTTGCAGTGGTGAAGTTCACACACTTTCGCAAGGCTATGAAAGTCTTACCTATTGTGTCGAGCGACGACAACGTATCCGAGGACATGGCTACAACTACGACTACTGCTACTGCGTTGACTACTGCTGTTGATGCGGAGGCTGTACCTGAGCGACATTGATGAAGACGAGGGCGATCGAGTGGGAGTGCTGTTACTGAGTGGACTGCTATTGTCTTTGAGCTGCGACTACGCTACTACTAGGACTATGGCGGCAACTAGGATGCGCGTGTGTGATCGCGTCGACTTCCAAGTGCGTCGCCGAGATCAAGTGGGAGTGTGAGCTATAAAACTTACCTGCGTGTCGAGCGCCAGTGCATTGCAGTCTGCCAGTGTCCGGTGCCCCCATCTACGAGCCACCGTCCACTGCCAGTGTCTGCAAAGACACATTCCAAGGACACTCATGCGCCTGGCAGTGCAGCTTGCGGCTGTACTACAACCGGCTACACTGAGTACACATGCGTACAATGGCGAAGGACTATACCAAGGACTGTATGCACAAGGACATCGTTGGCTGTGCGCTGCCAAGATGGTGTACTCAAACGAGAGTGCATTTATCTAGAATTTAGTATTGACTTATTTGCTATTTGTATACTAATCTACTTTTGCGGTACAGCGGTGTTCTGGCGGAGGCTGCTCCACACTTTGCGTTTTGACGCCTGCCGCTCACCAGAGAGCAGCAGAGAAGAGCAGCCTCGCCAGACACCGCAGTCCTGTCGCGGCCTTTTGCCCGGCACTTACGTGTTTACGTTACTTCCTGATTAGTTTCCTAAAGTTGACATTTAAGAGTATTTACATTTAAATGGCTCCTACTCTTAGAAGCGATCGACACATGGAGAACAATCCCCCCGTGACGAACCCTACGTCACCACTCCATGTTCTTGCGTCGAGGTAGATGCGCGTTCTCGACGGCCTCAACGGGTCGTCGCGTGTTGTGCTCATTGCAGGAGCTGGGAGATCTGCGGGGCAAAGGACTCAAATTCCCGCTGCATCCCCCAGAGCCAAAAGAAGCAGCTCTAAAGACCGACACGCAGCCACGTCGTCGGCGGGACCTGTTGGCAACTGGCTTCGTGTTCTTGAACGAGAAAACGCAGCAGCCCCGCGCTTTTATCAATAGGTGTGTAAGATATTTAACACACCTTCAATCTAGTGTTTTGATTGCAATTTGACGCACTTTTAATTTTGGGACAGGTGTCCTCACGCGATGCTGGAGCTCGACTTTGACGACAGCGATTTTTTCTGTGAAGGCTTCATCCACTGCAAAGTCCACGCCGCGTTCTTTGATCCCGATACAGGGATTTGTCTGCAAGGCCCCATTTCATCGCGGAAATCCCTGAGGGTGCGTTTCGCTAGCTACCTTGAAAATTATTGATAAACACTTTCTCAACATTGTTCGCATGGCAGGGTCTGGACGAGCTTCAAGTAGAAGTAGATGGGGAGGATGTAGTGCTGCTAGCCGAGCAGTCCAAGCCGAGGTTCACCTCTATGCCTTCTTACGTTAACCAGGAGCCTGAGGCCTACAAACTCGAAAAGCAGCGGGAGCTAGCAGAGGCTCTTGCAAAGCGCTCGGAAATGTCCGATATGCAGGAGATGCAACAACGGTTACATGAGAAGACAATGGCGCGGCTGAAGAAGTACGGGCAGATAAACCAAGTGCCTCTCAAACCGAAGAAATAGTTTATTTGTCAACGCTATGATCCATGCGCTTATTAAAATAGTGACGCAGGACGTAAGCAATTAACCAATTATGTTCCCACCGACATACTTCTGCAAGAAATGTATCTAAGCTGGCGGGTGATCCATGTGGTGATATCGCTGCCAATGCGTTGCAGTGCACGGTGTTCGCAGTGCGGAAGCTGGCAGCAAGCTCTACTTCGAGCTGCAGTAGCTCGCACAAGACAGGGCGTGAGCTTCCACAGTAAAAGGAGTACATTGTTACTTGACTGCACGCAGGATTTGAGCGTGCAGCTTAGATACTCGAGCGTTAGAGGAGGCGACAAAACGCTCGAGTCTGTCGGATTCCAACTCGGAAGTTGAACGAGGGTTGCTTGGGCTGAAGGAGTCATGGCTCCAAGCAGAAATGTCAGACCCATCAAATAGATATCGGTGGTGCGTACATGGGAAGCAGCGGTGCAAACCATCCAGCGCACATATTGCTGGTGACACCGAGAGAACTTCAGATCTGGTATTATGATTAACGATCACATCGATGGAGAGCTTGAACGGACCAGCAGGCATTCCGATAATACAATTGCAATCATATTGAAGGTCCATGCCAAAATAAGCTATTGCTACAAAAACTACAACTTAAGAAATAAATAATTGACATCAATAGTAGTGTATTGGAAAATTAACTACTTAGATGTACAGCACTGCACATTACTTTGCGTTCACGATAGCTGCTACAGTGTTTGCGTCCCAGAAAGGCCGATTCATCTTCAGGGACAACACGGTTTCAAGGTGAATAGGCAGCATACGCTGGCGATGGTGGGAAAGAGTATGTTTCGCCACACTAAAAAGACGCTCCACGGTGTTTGACGTCGGCGGGATGAAAAGCACACCATCAAATACCTTCTTTGCACCGCGCCGCTTTTTTCTAGTCGCCAAGACTCTGTCGGCAAAGCCCTGTGGGCGTCCGTGCCTGGTGTCCGGTGTCGTAATTGCGGGTACCGTCTCAAATGGCTGCAACATCAGCTCCTGGTCGTTCGTCAGCTCGTCCACGGCGCCTGACAGGGCTACAACGCACGCTCGCTCGAAGTCCACGTCCTTAACAATATTTGCGTCGGCAGCAAGATACTTTTTCACAACGGAATGCTTCTCGATGAGCGCATCAAAGATATCGCGCACATCGAGAAGCGTTACGTTGTCGTCTTGAAGCTTCATGGTGGCCGACTGGAAGTCGCCAAGCTGGCAGTAAAAAAGTAGCTGCAGACTTGCTTGGTCGTGAAGGTGTTGGCGAGAGCCATGGTAAGATCAAAAATGATAGACGAGCGCCTCAGGTTCGCGTTTTGAGCGACCGTTGCTGAGCTCCGTATTTACGCAAAACAAAGCAGAAAAAACTAAATTTTACGAAAAAATAAAGTACTTTGTTGTAAATACAAAATAACTAATGTACATTGGAAAAAGTCATCCAATTTGTAAAAATCAATAATTAAGTGTAAACTATTGTATTGAAGCAGCAATACAATGATTATTTCGGAATGCCTGCGGACCAGGGTATTGCGGTGAGTGCTCAGTGAGCACTGCTCACCCCCGGCTACAACGTGGACCATTGTAGCGATATAAGCTGTGAGCATCTGCGCCGCTGGACAGTCTCCGCTGCGACCAATATACGTAGAGCTTGTGCTCCCTCACTGTCAATTGGTTGGTGCTCCCATGCTTGTCCTCCTGCTTCAGCCTTGCGTGAACGATGTGCTTGCAATTCAGATGAATTAACCGCAAAACATTACAACGACCGACTTATCGGGCGTAACAGACTTTCTACCGCTACCGTCTGAAACAAATTGAAAAAAGAACGTCATTGAGACGGGTGCAATAGCGGTGTTTCAAACTTCAACTTCAGTAAACGTCGTGTATTGGACGGCGTGACAAACCTAACGTCAAACCTTCCAAGACCACACAGGTCCGGATCGTCATTCTCGCTCTTCCCTCGTCCTACAGAGACCCCCAGACTCACATCACCCGCAGCAATGGTAGCTATCGCAAATGACAAGAAGGCCACTACCGGTGGCGTCGTGGCAGCGCGTCTGCTGGGCTCTACGTGCTCTGGTCTATGCGAACTTATGATTTTCCACCCCGTGGATACGATTGCCAAGCGTCTCATGACCAACAAGGAGGCTATGCACGGCGTCGCGGGCATCAACAAGGTCATTTTCCGTGACGCGTACGAGAAGCCCGTGTTCGCGCGCTACCGCTCGCTGTTCCCCGGTCTGGGCTTCGCCGCCGGCTACAAAGTCTCGCAGCGCATATACAAGTTTGGCGGCCAGCCCGTGGTCAAGGATTATATGTCCAGGAGCCACGCATCCTTCTTCGAGCACACGTTCGGTGAGCGTAACGCCAAAACCATGATGCATGCCTCGGCGGGCAGCCTCATCGGCATCGGCGAGATCGCTCTGTTACCGCTGGATGTGCTCAAGATTCGCGCCCAGACCAACCCGGCCGCCATCGCAGGCAAGGGCGTGGGCCACATCTTTAAGACAGAAGGCTTCGCTCTGTACCGTGGTGCAGGCTGGACGGCCGCGCGTAACGCGCCTGGATCGTTCGCTCTGTTCGGTGGCTCGGCCCTCGCCAAAGAGTATCTATTTCAGCTTGAGGACTTCAACAGCGCCACCTTCTTCCAAAACTTTGTGGCCTCCATCTCGGGTGCCTCGGCCAGTATCATCGGTATGTCTTCCTGTATTTACTCTTGATGACAGTTGTTGTATGTTTGCTAAACATGTTTTGTGTGTTCTGCAGTGGCGCAACCGCTTGATGTGATCAAGACACGCATCCAGTCGCGTCCGTTTGACTCGCCTGAGAGCGGCATGACGGTCGTGCGTAACCTGCTGAAGACTGAGGGGTCTGGCGCTCTGTTCAAGGGTCTGATCCCCAAGCTGTCGGTCGTCGGCCCCAAGCTCGTCTTCTCGTTCGCAGTTGCACAACACTTGATTGCGTATTTCGAGAAGTCCTTTGCCTAATGAAGTAGACAGCGATAGAAGAAAGAGAGGAGACTCGCCGACGACGTGACTGTTGCTCGCGCTAGAGCGTTCACAGCTAATTATCACGCTGGTAACTTCATTTATAAAGACGTTTCTTTTGAATTTTGCACGTTGATTTCCAGCTCTATTTGTACCCCCCCCTCCCCCAAGATTATGCAGGAATTCGATTACCTCAGCACGATACTCAACGCCGTGCGGACAAGTATGAGAGTGACGCCACCTGCAGAGGCAACGATCGCAAGTAGCGCAAATGCAAGTTTCCACTTCCAGAGACGTCGCGGTTGTTGCGCAAAGGCGTGCTGAGGGAAGTAGAGTTGCAGCACCGAAGCAAGCGACTCGTTCATCGATACTGGAGTCCCGTCCGGATGTTCCAGACTCGAGGTTTCCAGCAGAAAGATGGCACGCAGTCCGTAGTGATCAGATAAATGCGATATCGGCAACAGCCGACGAAGTGGAGAGCGATCACCTACGTCGCTGTAGTTTTCGTCTTCGGTAAGCTCGTTCACAGAGCAATGGTCCACTGTTGTGCCCTTTTCCACCAACGTCAAGCGGAAACGTGGTGATACTACCGACTCCACACTAGCACTGCCTTCGTCGTCTCCATCGCCGTTCGTACTGTCGGTGCTAGTGGTGGCGGAGACTGGGGGCGTTGTCTGGTCATTGATCCCTGGACAGAAGAACATGTAGTCGATACACTTGCCATCTTTCTCGAGAGACAGTGGGTCTGTCTTATGAAACAGTAGCGAATGTCCGTCACCATTCGTGATCGGGTGGATCTCATCGCCAAGCTTGGTAGTATCACATCGCTTCATAAGGTCGATCATCAGAGACTCTGCTGTGTTGTCTGCGTCGACAGTTTTTCCCGCTACCCTCGCGAAGTTCAACCTTGCCTCGCGTACCACACGCTCAAAGTCCGCCACAAGTTGCTGGTACACTTTGCTCTCTCGACACCGAGTAGATGTGACCAGCCCAGTTTGCGAGTCGTGTACTAAATCGTGTCGAGCGTCGAGGTTGAAGTCGCCTGTGATGAGGACAGGCACTCCGGGGTCGTCTCGGATCGTTCTGGCAACGAAACGGTGCATCTCCTGGATCTGAGCGAGGCGAATACTGTAGTCCTTGTAGTTGTCACCTGCTTGAGTGTGTGTAGTGAATACATGAAGTGAGTCTGAGAGGTCTGGCGATAACTGGATACGAGCGTAGAGCACGCCTTTGGCACAGATTCCGTCACTTCCAGCGCCCTGCGAGTACGCGAGCTGGTCGCGCTCCACGATCGGATAACGACTGAGGATCAACAGTCCGCCATCAATAAGACGAGAGTCCAATAGTCGCGGCCACACAGATCCGCAGTGGTAGCGGAAGCCCATGGCGTAGGCTTCCCGCACGAAGCGCTTCTGTCTTGGTCCGGCCTCGAACATCTCCTGGAGGATCACCACGTCGAATTTGGTCATCTTACGAAGCAGTAACGCTACCCTCAAGTCTTTGTAGTCGCCAGTCTTGAACCACTGACCGCTGTGGATGCCTTCAGGGCGGCAGAAGATCTGTCAATGCACCTCGTTCGATCAGACATATTCGACCACTTCAAAGAAATTCACAGCCACATACGTTTAAGCTGAGCACGGCGAGACGCTCCTGCACTTTTGCCATGGTTATGTAGTCGCTGAAATTGATGGAGATGATAAGAAATCGCTGTTTACAACGCCAAAGCGGGCGGCGAAACGAAGAGTGCCGTTTCTGCTTCGACCGTTTACCAAATGTACCTATCTTTTCATTGGCTCAAACTAGGTTTAGCCAATAAAATCTGGCTCAAGCTTAGACCGTTGGGTACGTGGCAATCCGCATCGCTTGTGCTCGCACAACTAAGCACATCCAACTGCCGCTGCAAGGTGACCAGTGTGCGCTCTGCCTCTCGTACCTGAGCCTCACGCGTCTCGACCAGTGCACAATACTTGGCTACCGAGGATAATTCCTGACGTTTGGTGACGATCTCAGCTCGCAACTCCTTCTGACGTTGAGTGAGCTGCGCCTCATTGAGCTTAAGCTCCCTGGCGACGACGTTGACCTCGTGCATCTGGTCGCTCTGGTCACGGATAAAGTTTGCAGTTTCCAGTTCATCTTTGGCCTCGAACACTTCTATTTTCTTGGTCGTCTTGAAAGTCTCCGATCCTGAAGCAGAACGACGTCACGAACGAAACTTCGGTGAGATGGGCATGTGATCTGTTGTAGCTGCACGACAAAACACTGACCCTTACCGATGGTCGTCAACCCCTGGACGACAGCGTCGATGTGACGTTGTCGAGCGAGTTCTTGGTTGCTTGTCGCTGCTGTCTCAGCGAGCACAGCACGGAGAACATGAAGCTGCACGTCTTCTCCCCAAGATAAACCTGCGTTGTAGCTCTCGAACATTGGTTCATCCATGTTGAATTGTGTTGCTGCCATGACAGCTTCTGCATCTACATTCACCCCAATGCCATGACGCGCGCCGTCTTCCCACTGTCCGATATACTTGTCCCCAAAAGTGCCGACGTAAACGCCATATCCACTCGCAACTCCGTCACGAAATTCCCCCGAATAATTGGCCCCGTTCGTCTGCAGCTCCACTCCCTCTCCATGCTTCTTTCCACTCTTCATTGCACCGGAATACGTGGATCCCAACACCGAGAGGAGAACTCCTAGGCCATTAGGAATGCCCTCTGTGTAGCTCGACGGACGAGTTAGCAAAGTGTCGAACGTAGCGGCAGCAAGTAAACACGCACCATCGTTGACGTCTCCGTGGTACGTCGATTGTTCCGTCAGCGTCACCGTTGCCAGCTTCACCATTGGAGTCGGATTAGGACCTTCACTCTCTTCAGAATGATCCTCCTCAACACTAGCGTTCACATCACGGGTGGCTACAGTCGACCCCTGTCTGCTCCGATCGCTGCGGGTAAAGGCAACCGTGCCACTTGCCATTGACGACGTTGCAATGTTTGTTGCCTTTAGGGCCCCCCACCAGTTTGTACGTCCTTTCGCAGCAAACCCTCTATCTAAGGGTTTGTATGCCTTAAAGTGCACTTCAACTTGTAAGTTTGATACGCACGCCATTTGACAAAGTTGACTGTCAAAGGCAAATAAGAAACCCAAGCACCAAGAGAGAAAGCACAAACTGAAGACACAACAAATATGAAGCCTGCTCGTTCACGATATGGGTACGTAGTAACGAATATAGGCAGGTGGCGGGGTTCCTGGGGTCACCGGCGTTTTGACCTTATTGCTCCAAACTTCCGACACCTTCTACGGGTTCTTCACAATCAGTGTCATACGCTTGGTGATTTAACTGCTCGTGTTGCTGGCAGATCAGATGAAGACGACGCGTTTGGATGGCAATTGTTCCACGACCGACAGCGCAATTTAGTTTACTACCTGCACAGCTACACAGGAGAAGTGCGGTGGCCTCGACCGGAGACTGTGGGCTTTGTCATGCACGGACTCAAGCCACTGCCTGCACAGACTCGTATTGATGCCAGAACGGACGCCAGCGTTATCAACTCTGACATTTGGAGCCCGTACTACCCGCACGTGGTCATGCTGCCCTCTGGGTTGGTGCAAGTGCACCCTGGTCCTGACTCGGATGTTCAAAACGCGACCGAAATGTGGTGCGGATACAATCGGTTCCCTCTCAGACTCCCTGGGCAGACCAGCGCACGAGACTTCCGCGAACCAAGGATACTGCCACCCACGTGGGAAAAGTCACGCAGCGGTTCACCTTTCTTACCTCCGTATCCAGTTGCAGTCCTTGGACGTGACACCACGGAAGACAAGCGCCAAGCTGCACCAAGACCTCCTCTCCAACACCTTGACGAGCGATTCCAAACGCCAGAGATCAATGTTTCATGCAGTCGAGCCGCCATCCAAAACGGCGAGCCCGGACGAGTTCGAGGCTCGATGGATTGGCCAGTACTTAGCCCGACTATGACGGCCACCACAGCTCCCGATCGCAAGCAATCAGGTGCGTACAGTTTGCTTCATGTCTTCTACCGAAACGTGTTAACCTGCATCTTGTATGCTGCAGTTTATCCGAAGGGATTCCCGGCGCCGAACACGGAGAAGAAGGAGCACAACCGCAAAGGATATCTCCTTCGCCAGGCGCGCAAGATGATGCGAGACGGCGGCTCTACTTCAACGACAACACCTCCAGACTCGGACACATCTGCATCAACCAAGCAGCGCAAGGTGCAGGAAATGACAGCTAAGGCGAGACACGACCTCTCCAGCCGCGACAAGCTAGATCCTTTGACCGACAACGGGGACTTTGATACCATTACTCCGCTTCACTGCTGATCAGATGACACGTCGGTTTCCACAGTACACGTGAGAAGGAATCTATTTACTCGAGAGAAGACCCACACTATCGCCGTGGACGCAGAGCAGCTCTACGAGACTAATACGACAGAAACGTTAACTTTTGAATTGAAGTGGTGGCTGCGTACTTAAAGCGTACTTAGCCTCATTTTGGCGGTAGTAGAATGTTGCGAAGCGCTCTGGTGTTGCGGTGCTGCGGCACTCGGTACAGGTGCGCTGTCGGCTTCTTTGGGTGCCTGGTCAATGACGTTATTGCTTATGTGGTTGTGTTTATGACTTAGCGCTTGCCGACTTACGCAGACACGAACGAAGATTACAATTCCGGCCGCTGGAGGCGGACGTCGTCGCCGACTCAAACCAAAACTGCCCAAGGACAAGTGAGTGTGGCAATAACAAGACAACTATGGAGGAAGAGCTCTGACTGTGGGAATGGCTGAGCAGGTTTGCACTACTTTCGGCGGAGTTTTTGGACCGCGTGCAGACTGCAATGGAGCCGCTTTCACCCTCCGGTCAATGACAAGTTTCAGCTCCAGCGTGATGGCAGTGCGTGTCGTATTGAACTCCTCCTGTCATGAGTCTGTATTCGTTTATATGTTACTGTTGGCTGCCTGACTAGATGACGAGCTTGTCATTCACACAAATTCCAAGGAGTTTGTGATCGAAGTGCTGTCCTCCAAACAGCAGATCGAGTTTTCATCTCCGGTGTGCAGTCGAGTGCTCGTCACAGTTCCTAATCGCTACTGCTGACACCGACTGTGCCTGTGCCCTGCAGGTTTCTGGTCTACGAACGTATCAATGGAACGCGATGGCCAAGCGATGGGAAGACGAGGTGAGGCTGCCTTCCAGCAATATGTGTATCGGCAACACGATGGAACGAGTGTTTTATTTACCGCCGCGATCTGTTGTGCAGACTGACTCGCACGACATCGAAGGACTCCTGACACGCGACTTAATGCGCTTCTGTGCCGGGATTCCGCTCTTCTAGTCCGCTGGCCAGTGCCACAACTGCTACTGCCCACTGAGGCACAGAAAATGTTACCACGACGTACTTGGAGTGGCCAAATAAACTTTCTACTTTACGAGGCCCACGCACCATACGCTGCATCAGCCTTTTTCGTGTTCTTTTAACTTGTGTTTTTGTAAGCTGCTGCTTTCTGCGTCGCTGGAACCTGAGCCTATTACTCCAGCGTCTTCAGTAAGCGGAACAGTCCAGCTGCCTCGCGGATACGACTAAACTCGATACAAAAAGCCTGCACCTCAATGATCAAGTCCTGGATCAAAACAATCGTTAAAAGTCTATAGCCTTGTAATAATACAAACCCAAGGCTGGACGTACCTGCACGTTAATGATCTTGTTACGGATCAGAGACTGCAGGAAGACACACACCAGGCGCACCAGACGGTTCTGCATGTACTTGTCCTTGATGTTCTCACACGACGAAATGCAGTTGGAAATGTACAAGTGGATGAACTCGGTCGGCAAATCCACGGCCGTCGTCAGGCGATTCACGACCTCCATCGAGTGTAGTGACATGTCCATGTTCACTAGAGCGGACAGGTATTCTGTGATCTGGTTCGAGGACATGAGCTTCAGCAGGCAATCGATGGCCAGCATCGGGTTGTTCTCCACTAGATCTGGCAATCGCTGAGGCGTCAGTGAGCAGTGATACACGAGCTTGGGGTCGGCTTCAAGCTCCGCGAGCACCTTCTGCTGCAGCGACGGCACTAGCGGTTTCTGAAATGCACGCAGCATAAGTTCACGCAGAGCGATCCCGTGCGCCGAGTCCAGCATCGTCGAGTCCCACAGCACTGTCGGACAGTAGTCTGGGTTCAACCAAATCAACTCGGTCATATCTGGCTTTAGAATGGGCGGAGGGAGACGCATAAATGTTGGCTCGAAGCTCAATAGCGATAGGGATCCTGTAGACGACGCACTCGCAGCAGAACTTGACGCAGCAGCGGGAGTTCCGGTCGATGGCTCAGCGTCACTAAGCAGGCTCATCTCTTCCAGCGACAGCGCTTCAAAGCACGGTAAGTTCAACGAGCTGACCTCATTCGGAGGTACTTGCAGATTGGCCCCATTGTTCACGTGTTCCTGCAGGTCGAACTCTGTGTCTGTCACCACATTGCGGATACCTGCTGCTCGAAACTGCGGGACTGATGGGGTTCGCTCCAAGTAGCTGCTCCTCATGGCCTCCACGTCGAATTGGACTGGTTGTGACGGGTTCGCTCGGAGCTCTGCCATCATCTGCTTCGCTGTCTTCTTGCCCGACTGTGTCAAAGGATTCACGGCGTTAATTTAGTCCTCACCCTTGTCCACTCTCGTGTTTTCGTACCTCGCGATTGCCTGTAGGCGACAGCAGGTGCACGATGAACTTCTTCTCGCACAGATCACTGCCCTTCTCCAGGGCGTCCAGGAACACGGGCAGGAACGGGTTTGTTGTGGCGCCTTCATTGCGGTACAGATCACTCAGGATCGAGAAGCTTACGATGCGCTGCAGCAAACGCAAAAAGTGTCAGTCTCTTTGTGCTCGAAGCTCTCTTCAGTTCAAACAGTAGACATAGCGATCGGACCTGTGAGCTAGTAAGCAGATTATCTTGTAGCAGGATGCAGATTGTGCAGCCCACTTTGAAGTGGTCATTCTTAGTGAACGTGCGCAGGAACATGCTGGTTACTTGCTCCATCGGCTTGTCGTCCTCCTGCAGAGCAGCAGAAAGGTCACATACGCGTCGTTAGCGTCCGAGTTCATAGACTTATACCGCTCGTTTCTATCGGCTGATCGTTTAGCGAAGCCTCAGCGATGCTGCTGTCCTCCTGCTTTCTATGAGGATCCTGAGGCCAATACGAAGCGAGCGCGACTGCTGACTACGAGGTACGTACATTGAGGATGGCTAGAAGCGGCCTCAGCTCTCGTATCTCCAGCATCTCGGCGGAGGGCGAGGGGAATGAGGTCAACGCGGAGGCTTCGTGCGCAAGGCTTTTTCGCCTTTTAACGGGAGGCAGCAGAATGCGAACTTAATGAAATGCAAAGGCGAACTTAACCTCCCTTTCAAAGTGCCACAATCATTTTTACCTGGATTGAAAAGCAACGATGGCTCCATCTGCTGCTGTACATGTATCCGACTCGCTGCTGGCTCGCGTGCGGCCTTCGTGTGCCAAACTGGTGGCGCATGAGTCTTCGTCTGTGCGTATCAGTGCGGACAAGGTGCGCACGTTTGAGGAGCAGCTAGACGCCAAAGAGTTCGAGCAGCTTGCGGAGCCTTTGAACTTCCCGCTCAACTTCCGCTCTCAGCAGGACGAGATCAACTTCCTCAGTGCGTCTGGAGTTGTATAGTCTGCTTCGATTGCTAATTGTGTAACTGGTGTATGATGACAAATTACAGCATTGTATGGGCTGCTGAACTTCGGCAGTGGGTTCAGGAAGGACCTGCACAAGTACACGGATCGAGGAGCTCACGACACCATTGTGAGTGTCTTTGCGTGAGTGTTAGGCGAGAGTGGATATTTAACGCTATTTTGTTATGGTCAGGTGTTCGGACTCATTGGCATGTACATTTCAGTACCCAAGTTGGACGCCCAGTTCATGCAGGGCTTGACCATTGACCTGGTGGCGAACTACTTCAGTATTCCACTGGAGAAGGACGAGGAGGTCTCTCCGGGTATCTACATGGCCAAGCCGGTAGGTCACGCACATTTCAACATTAAGGATATTATATCAAGATTTCATCGTCGTGTATTGTTGGACTTTGGGTAATGCAGGGACCATTGAAGTCCCTAGCTGTGATGATTCAGAAGGTGAACAGCTCCTGAGAATTGAGGGTGAGCAATGGAGCGCTAACCATTGACAATGTGTCGGTGCTGCTATCGGCTATAGATTCTGAACGAGTCTGGCCAGAAGCTGATTGACTTGAAGATGGAAGATTTCGGAGCGTTCGTCCTGGCCAACCTCACGCCAAAGCCTTCTGATGACAAAGAGGAGAAGGAAGCTGTCGGGGCCAGCGCGGAGTATTTAGTGGATCAATTCGCGGCGACGTTCCCGGGCTTTGACGACCACTACGAAATCCACGGCGAGAACGTGTACCTCCTCAAACGTGCTCAACTCGCTGTCGCGTGCATCCACCGTCGATTCAAGGTAAAAGCTCTGATCACGGCTCTAAACGTCGCCTTCCAAGCTAAGCCGTTCAATGCTCTCTTACTCCAGGATTCCGAGCCGAAATTGACATTTGCAGACATCAACGAGCTCACAGCTTTCAGTGACAATGTAAGCTTGTGGCATTCGGGTAAGGACACGATATACTTGCTGACTCGTTGCCCTTGCTTGTTCAGGTGTTGCCTTGTGTCCTCCACGCTCTGGGTGTGCTTGAGGTAAGGAAGAAGCTGTCAATCGGTCGGCGGTCTTGGCTCTTAATCTAACAGTCATCGCGGTGTTCCAGTACGATGCGGACTTGGAAGCCCGGATCAACCGCGGCGAGGAATTGCCTGCGGGGAAGGAGGAGTGCGAGTTGCGCGCCGCTGCGGTTGTTGCATGCGATCAGATCGTGGCCGAGAGCAATGGCCGCATCGGCGCCCTCGAGTTGGATTTCTATCTGTGGCGTGTTGGCAAGGAAGCTCGCTTCCGCGGTCTCGAGCGTCATGCTACACGCAACACGTTCTTCTACTAGCAAAACACCGATAAGTTCGACCACCGAGGTGCCATTTTGCTTGCCAGTCGCGGATGCGGCACGGCCCGTGCCACGGGCTCATCTAATGTCAAATACGATAATTTTCACGCGGCTGCCTCTGCCGAGCACTTCAACTCGCAGCACCTTCGATTTGCATTTTTTGCAGTTTTTGCAGTTTTTGCATGGGGCGTTTCGGATCGCTTGGCCCACAGCAAGTGCCTCGTGACACCCTTGAGATGCAAGTGGAGACGTCCAACAGTAAATCAGGCGATGCGTAGCAGGCGGGGCGGGCTCCAAAGCAAGCAGGGACGGCGCGAAAAGTATCGCAACTCATGGAGGCGAACTCGAGCCGAGACTTCGCGAATCTTCCTAGCAGTCCTCTTCTTTGCCCACAAAGATGGGTACTCCCGCGACGCAGCCGCGGTCGTTACCAGAGCTCGCTGCATGCCCTCGTTGCCTCACTCACTCGAGCTTTCCCTCTGCGTAAAGGAGAACACGCGGCCGGCACTTCCGGTCACGAACACGCGAGTAGCAGACAAGGAATCAGGTAACCAAGGCGCTGCCTTCTCCACCAGCCACACGTGTGCAATTCAGCGCCATATCAGATTCTGTTCGCGAATTGTTGCCAAATCACCTCCAACCACTTGCTCGCCACCCACCTGCACTTGATAATGAGCGACGTTGTGATGCACCTAGGAGGCTTCGCTTGGCAAGCAACGGACAAGAGCGAATCCAATCCAGACCGCCGTATTAAGTTGGCGACCGACACAACCAGATCTCCCAAAGTCCCGCTCCGTCAACGATCGCTGGGTGCCATGCCGGGTATAGCGCGCTATCGCTCCGACTCAGCGGCGACCGAACCGCGTCTCAGTATCTGTAGCACATCCGGCACGGTGTACGAGAGCGTCGTGGTGGTGGGACATATGTATGGCTCGGATAAGGTCGTGTACTACCTATTGGAAGTGCGGTCGTGGGAGATGCCGCTCGAGGGCTACGTGGTGCGGCGTCGCTACAATGATTTCTTCAAGTTCCACCAGGAATTGACCGAATGCATGCCCTCACAACGCCGTCGAAGCAGCACAAGCCTCGGCTTCGGCTACTCCTCACTGCTATGCAATCCACTGACCAGCGCGACACCGGAGTCTTCCCCACTTTGGTCACCTGTGCGGACGGACGACGGACGTTCAGACCAGAGGAGAGGATCTTGGATCAGCGAGGACAGCAGCATTTCACAACCTCAAGTGGAGGACAATGATACGAGGAGCAGTGCCCCTACTACACTGACCGGAGTATCGAGCTACAATAATGACTCGGTGCTACCGCTGGACGCCGTCAAGTTCAATCTGGCCGGGCGTCCGTGGTTGCCGCCGATGCCAAATGGCGGAATGCTCACCGTGTTTACTACTCGTCGTGCACTCATCAACTACCGCATCGAACAATTTAACCACATCCTGGCAGCCGTGATGAGCGACAAGTCCAGCGACGTGGCCAAACTGCTCATGAACTTTATCCAGGAGAAACCAGGCACGCAGACGCAGACGTACACAAATCTGTCCGAGTACGCACCCATCGACATCCCGTTAAACGTGGAGCGGTACGCGCGACGGCGGGCTATGTCCATAGGTAAACGCCAGTTGCGCGACCAAGCATCCTCGCCCGTTCCGTGAGAACGCCAGAAGTAGAGTGCTGTAGAGTAGTGATAGACTACATGTAGTTTCATATAATGTATCCATTTTGCATGTTAAAACGATTTGCGTCGCGCAGTAGCCATCTTCAAAGCAACTTCAACTCGCAACTGCCTTGATACCTAAGGGCAGCTTTCGTCAAAGCTAGTGCTACTGAAAGCGTGTCAGTTCTGGGCCCAGTGAAGTGAAGACATTATTGAAGTGTTATTGACCGGCCGCGGACTATTATAGCAGTGGTTGCAACTGGACGGCCGAAGATGAGCTTGAAGCGCTGCAGATCTGTTTGTGGAACTGGTGAACAAGATCTGGGGCTGCTCAACGAGACTGGGGGAGAGCTGTTTTCGCTCTTCAATGGTTTGCTGGTTTACGCCTCAAGCTGGGAGGGTGTTGTTCCGTGACTCACGGACGGACCGTGAGTACGAAGCGACCAGAAGAAGCCACCCGTGAACAACGAGACAGGACTGACTGCTGGCCATCCCTGGTCTGGTGCTCACAGCCTACGAGACGATGCGAGACCAAACCGAGAGTACAAGCTCCAAATGAATGCACGATGTACATGTGCACTCGCTAGTCGTCGAAGCTAACGCACACTGGTAACAATCATCCATCGTGCGATGATCTACCATACACGAGTGGCGAATGCAATTTACTTAGCGTAGTGAACAATTGAGCGACTGGTATGGATGATCTCCACACGGCAAGCGCTGGTTCGGTTTTTGTAGGGGGGGGTTCTTCTGGCTACCTGTATGGGATGTTGATATCCCAAGCGAAGCCAGCGATATTAATCGTGTCACACAGTGTGTGAGCCCCCATTCTGGACGAAGCTGTTACGCAACGATACGGCACCTCACTGTACGTGGAGTTCAGCAACAGTTGATAGTTGTGTGTCGGCTGAATATCTAGGACACCTCGTCGATACCAGCCTACTTTAATGAACGCCCAGGTGAGCAGTACCGAACACAGAAACGGAAGGTGGGCAGCGAGAAGCCACTTAGCAGCAGAACATCGATCTGCATACATTTTAATTTTGCTATTTGCACTCGAAATAATTTCAATAAATGCTGTACATGAATAGCGATTGCATGCCAAGCGCCACGAATATCTGTTGGCGTCGTTGTCGTGGCAACAGTGACCTGCGGCAAGTCTTGCCGGACACGTTGTTGTGGCTTGGTGCGGGACATCAGGCAGAAGAACTTGTGTTCATGGGCGCAATGGGGCACTCCTTGAGCGCACGAAACAAAAGCTCATTGAAATGAGGTGACCAGAACCGCACAACGCGTTCGGCGCCTTCGGCCGTAGCCATTCTGATACCGTTTGCAATGAGCACACAGAATGGGTATTTACTTTTGTGCGAAGAAAAGGTAAGGCAACCTAATTCGTTTCAGCCAGCGTGCTTTGGAGTTATTTTCTTTAATAGACGATAAAATAAACAAATTGGAGTATTTTTTGGTGTACAATTAAAGCTCTCTGTATTAATAGCCTTTTCATTGCTTCGTATTCCTAGTCGCCCAGCATCCTCCTCTGGCGCTCATCATTCTTTTCATTGTTGCTCATTTTTAAAACACGAAGCTTTACAGTTTTTGTGGTCAGCAGCTGACCGTCAGCAGGATGTAGTATTGTCAAACTTTAGTAGCGTTAATCGAGCGGTCATTGCTGGAGGTTAGGAATCAAGGTGTAAGCTCGTATCCATTCCTTAATACATTTTCGCACGTTAATGCTCGGGGTGTAGCGGCAAGTCGTTTAGATTAAAAAAAGGGTAGGAATTTGAGTCAATCTTACCACCTGCTGCTGATGAACTGCGGACCAGACACTTCGTCCGACTTTATCGTGCTGTAGGGTTTTGAAGTGTACAGTACAGTATTATTAAAAAAAGTACAGTGTACATGTACAATACAGTAGTACTGTCAGTACCGTAGCAAAGCCAAACAGCCAGTTTGTCAGAGTCTCTTTTTGGTGCCCCCTCCTCTTCCTCTTCTGCCTCATTCAGCAAACCCACTTGCTGTGCGCTTCCCCCGAAAAATTCGGCCAGGTACATTTGCCGTGCTGGTCTTATTTCGATAGTTCCTAGGGGCATACCGGAGACTTTACACTTTCCTCCCTCCACATCGGCTTAGTCAACTTCCACGTCGTGAGCGACGTACCATGCTAGGACGCAACGTTTGTCTAGCGGCGTTTATCGCTGGTGAGTGGGTGGGCATTTCGGTGTTTCGCAATGAAAATTTGGTGCTTACAGCTCTCGTTCTCGAAAACAGTCGCGGCGCAGGTAACGACGGTGAACGCCGCAACGGCAGCGTCTTCAATCTGCAGCAAAGTCGAGGAATGCTACGTGAACGGATCGTCGTCCAAGGTTTGCAACCGAGCAGAGAAGAAATGCAACCGATGCTTGAGTGAGAAGGAGAGCGAATCGATGTGGGATAGCCTTGGCGCCTGGACCGAGTACAACTGCCACGCCTTCAACGACGATGGGGAGTGTCCTAAAGGCACGACTCAGTGTCCTGCAAGTACGTGGGAGCGTATGACAATGGGTTTCTCGTAGGATAAACTGACTGGGTATTCTGTACAGCGCTACCGACATCGGACGGCGATGAAGAAGAGAGCAGCACAGGGTCGGAGGACGCAGGAACCTCGGAGGAGAGCTCCAAATCGACCTCTAGCTCCACCAGGAAGAAGAAAACGACTTCTTCCTCTTCCGATGACTCGTCCAAATCGACTAGCAGCACTTCCACCAAGAAGAAATCCACGACGGCGTCGTCTTCAAGTGAGTCTGGCAGCGACGACAGCTCATCGAAAACAAAGAAGCCCGTTACTAAGAAGACCACAAAGCCGGCTACCAAGTCTTCGTCGTCTAGCAGCGAGAGTTCGTCGGGAGATTCCTCCAGTTCCTCAGCCTCAGCTAGCGACTCTACCGGCTCGTTCGGGTCTGAAACTTCCTCTGCTTCTGCATCGGCAGAATCGAACTCGACGCTGCAAAACTCGGCTGTGTCGCAAGACGAGCACCCAAAGACGAGCAGCGTGAGCGCCACTGTTGCTCCGACGACCACGGCGGCCGCACAGGCCGCAACGGCGGAATCGACCACTGACAACTCCAAGAATTCCAACACTCAGAGCGGCAACTCGGACGCTGGAGGAAGCAAATTGGGCTTGATTGCGGGCATTGCAGGTGGCTCTTGTGTGTTGGTAGCTGTCGCGGCTTTTGTCGTCTGGAAGAAGAAACAGGACGATGAGGACTCGGACGACGAGGATTCGGCCTTCTCGCCCAACAAACCTGCTGCTAACCGTAACGTGTCTGCGCTGCCGTCCGCTTCGTCAGCGACCACGGCGTATACAGCTCAGTCCAACAACTACGGCAACAACTACGGCAACAAATACGAAAGTAATTACAACAGTAACTACGACAGCAACTACAGCAGCAACTACAGTAGCAACTACGGTGACAGTGGATATAGTAACAACTACACTGCGACGCAGTATGCTGCTGGTGCCGGCGCTGCCGCTGGAACGGTTCCAGTGAGCTACGGGAGTCCGGCCTCGATCGATATCGACGACGAGAACCACATCCGTCGCACTGACAGCATTCTGGGCGGCACTGGCGTCATGTCGAGCACCATGTCGAGTGAACAGACTCCGTTCGAGTTCAGCGGCGGCCCCAGTCCTGCCAACCAAGACGTGTGGGGCAACGAGGCCGACAGCTTCCGCCAGAAACGCACAGCGAGCAACGTGTCCGTGGAGTTCTAGGTTATGGTTATTGGTAACTCCGCTAAGACAGTGCGCATTTTGTCTATGAGTAACCGCATACAGTATCTCGCACTTCCCCTTCAAGAAGAGGCTGGAAGAGGCTAATGAATATGTCATGATCCCTGTCAATTCACAGCGCTGCTTCGAAAGCTTTTTAACGTCTGTCTATCTACCATTTCCATCAAGCAGGAAAGTGTTTGCAGGCTGCTCAATGGGCGAGCGTGTAGAGGGAGAACGCAAGCTGCGAGCCGAAGCCTGCAGCAAATCGCAGAGCGTATTTGTGAGCGTAAGCTTTTCCCGTGGCGAGACGAAGAGGAGTCTCGCCCAGGTTCGGGTCGTGGGTCTCAAAGTGCACCACTGGCGCTACACGTCCGCGACGGAGTCCCTCGATTGCTGCTACGTCCTCGAAAGACACAGCCATGGGGTGACCAGTAAAGCCCTTCGTGTTTGCGATCACCAACTCAGTCAACAGCTCGGAGCCGAAAGCTGTGCGCAATGCAGTCACTTCAGTGTAAGCGCACGAAGACTTGGGCGACGCATTGGTGCCCGTCTCGTGACTGTAGTAGACTCCGTTGGAGGCGATCTCCTCACGTGTAATACCAAAGTCTGTCTCTACACGTTGCAAGAAGCGTTCCAGTTCTCGGCCAACGTGGTTCGGCTCCAATGCAGCGCCGTGATAAGCAGAATTGCTGAACTGAGTGGCAAGCAGACGCACAGCCGTAGATCCTGCAGCTGGACGCTCTGCAAAGGCCAATGGAGACTCCAGCACGACGCCGATCGCTCCACTACCGACAATCATTCCACTGCGCTTCACGTCGAACGGACGAGCCGCTGCCTCCGCCGTCGGAGCGATACAAGCAGCACCAAGCGCACGGAATCCACCACCAATCAGTGGCATCATCGTCTCCGAGCTAGCAGTATCACTGGACACCACAATGACACGCTGGCATTTTCCAGAGTTAATCCAATCCTGAGCCACACCAATAGCCTGCGTGGCACCAGCACACGCTGCGTTGATCTGTGTGTTGAGACCGCGAGCTCCGGTAAGCTGAGCGACTTGAGCGTTCGCTAGCACCAGCAGTCGGAAGAGGATCTTGCGGTCCATCTCGTACGTAGACTCGCCCTCCTTCTTCTCTTCATAGTAACGCGAGGTCTCCGACACCGCCGCGTTTATAGTCGGGAAGGACGAAGCGTAAATGACACCAGTAGAGTCGCGCATACTTTCAGGCAAGCGCCAGTTCCCGTCAGTTCCGTCGACAAGACCAGCACTACGGACGGCCTCGAGACCAGCAGCCACCGCCAGCTGCGTGGATTTGTCCATAGAGTTCGCAATAGTAGCGGCAATCCCATAATCCTTCTCGAGGTCGACGTCGCTCACAACAGCAGACACTTGGATGCATATATCGTGCGTAGAAACCGGAGTACGCGTCAGATCGCCCGTGATCCTGTCCTTGTGGAATTGTACGATGTTCTGGGCTACCATCCTGTCCTTCTGCGCATCGGAGAGCTCCAAGATGCAGTTCTCGCCTCGTAGAAGCTTCTCAACAGACTTCTCTCCTTCAAACGCCTTGGCTTGACCAGGAAGCCCCACACTCGTACCAGCCACATACACAGCACCAGCAAGCTCCTGTGTTGTCCTGATCAAGCGTTGCTGCTCCTGGTTGTCGCCTTCAGATGTGACTTGGGGCTTTGAGCGAGCGTAGAAACGACGACCCACGTCGTCAATCCGGTCGAGGTAGAAATCTCCTTCAGGGATGGAAGCAATCGACTGTATGAGCTTCACGCCGCTCTTAGCGCCATAAGTTCTTTCACGCAGCTTCATACGTGCCGTGTACTCCGCTGGAGTCTTTTTGCTGCGACGTTCAAGACGAGCTGTGAGATCCAGAGAGTTGGCGATCTTTTCCAGTGAGAACTTGCTCTCTGTAGGCTCGCGTGTGCGCAGTACAAACATGGTGGCGATGCTGCCTGATCCGTACGAGAACATCAGCACTCGAGAGCCGAGTGCCAGGTCTTTGGCACGCGCATGCACCAACGTAGCCAGGTTCATGTAGACTGCGGCAGTGTAGCAGTTGCCCAGCTGCTGCGAAGTGGTGCAGCTAGGTGATACTTTCGTCTGGAAGTCTTCCTTGGCCACTCCACGAGCTGCTAGATCCAGTTCGCGATCGTTCAGAGTCTCGTCTAGTGGCGTGTGAACCCATTTGGCCAACGGAGCGAACTTCTCTTTGGCAGCTTCATCTTCCGTGTGTAACAAGCGTCTCGAGTCCAGGAAAAGGAGACGAGCGAAGGACTTTTGCACTAGTTTGTTGTATGGCGAGTGGAACACCGCGTAGTCCACAGAAGCCACACCAGGTTCGTCCCCGTCGACCTTTACTGCCGCCTCGCTCTTCTTGCAGAAGAGTTGATAGCATTCATCCAGAGCGTGGAGATAACACGAATTGGACAGCTTACCGTCCACTGTTGGGTACTCGCTGCTCACATTTGGCTTGTAAAAGTCCCAGACGTTCGTCGCGTGGGTGGACTTGGTCCTGCAGTCCAATACCATGGGCGCATCCGGTCCAATGAGCATGGCTACAGCTCCACAGCCGCCACTGGGACGAGCAGGTCCCTTGGCGTACACTGCAATGTCAGTAGCCACTGCAATCGCGTATCTTCCGTCCCAGAAAGAGCTGTCAATCCACGCTACAGCGTTTAGTAGCGCCGCAGTGCCACCATAGCAGGCGTTGATGACTGTAGCTCCATCCACATCTGCGTTATCTTCAAACAGCTGCATGAGGACAGTCTTAGTGGACTTGCTCTTGTCCACTAGCGTCTCCGTGCCCACTTCCAAGCGTCCAACTTGCTCAGGAGCCACTTGAAACTTGCTCATTAGCCTCGAGACGGCAGTCAGCGCCAGTGCATTGACGTCTTCACGGTCTCCAGGAACAGCCATGCCCAATTGGCCCAGTCCCAACGTGTACTTGCCGCTGCCAACACCGTCGAAGGTCTCCATCTCGCGCTGATCTACATAGTCCGAGGGAAAATGCACTTCCATGGCCAGAATGCCCACGTCGCTGGGGCGCGCGGAGCTCACCATTATCTGCTACTGCTGTATGTGGCTCTATACGAAAAGGATCTGGAATTGCGCACAACAGTGCGAGTGGGCTGGAGGTGTGGCCGCGTGTTGCCGCGTCACGTCTGAGCTCACGAAAGACCTCCGATCTGCTTGTGCTGTTGTTGCTGTGCTCGTCACAAATTATGGCTCGTTTCTGCTCAGGCCTTAATTGTGCAACAGCTTTGTTGCTTGTTGCCAGAATGAACCTTCGCCATCAACATTCCTGCCCACGACATGCGCATTCTTCTGTATTACAGTATTACATGTACTATGTATCCATTTGCCTTTTTGCATTCCATTCGTGCTACGACATAATGTTTAAAACAACAATCTTAATTTCGTACCCTTGCGCTTGACGCTGAGAGGTCTATGCAGACATTGGTACGTCTTCGTCCTTAGTCGGAGAGTGTGGAACGGCAAGCACCGGCGGCTTAAGCTGACGAGTAGTGTCCAGCAGATGCAGATAGTTGGACTGCAGCGGCGTCGACTTGCTGAGCACCAAGTCCATCTGCGCTAGCTGCTCCCTTGCCTCCCGCAGCTCATCCGTGAGAGCGTCAAAGCGCTCCTGGTCAAACTTCGACTTGGCCATCTGCTTTCGAAGGCGTCGAGTGTAGACGTAGTGGTAGATGTTCTCGTACTCGTATTCCTGGTTTGTGAGACTCCACCAGGCGTATCCGATAATGGAGACGCCGAAGCCCGTGAAGTATGTCACTGGTTCCATGATATCCCACGAAAAGTGGATAAAGGACAGCCAGAAGTAGAGACCGAAGGCTCCAACAAGCGAAGTGGACAGTCCGTAGGCAATCACGTTGGCTTGTCGCGTCGCAGTTGCCTCCAGTTCATGGCGTAGGTTCACTAGCGCCACATGCTCTGGTTCTAGTGCCTGTATTTTGGCAAGAAGTGTCTCCCGCTGCTGCTGAAAGAGTTGCGATGACAGCGGCGACAGTCCAATCGACTCCAAGTACGAGTCGAGGATACTGCGTGGCTGTAAGAACACTGAGTGTGTCAAGTCTTCGTCGTCCGACTTGCCAAAGTAAAAGACCACACCAGTCTGGTGGAAAGCTTGCAGAACTTCGGGTGCTTGTTTCTTGGGGATGCCTCTCTCTTGACACATGTGCATGAACTCTGGGTGGCTGATCTTCCACTTACCAAGTCGTTCCAGGTCGCTGCGTAGCATGATAATGGCAGCCTTCTGCGCGACAGAGCGCACGTCCAGGTCGCCGTCATCTGCCAGACTCCGGTACGCGCTGCCCGTGAATACTGGTGCTCGCACTGGAAGCACTTGGTCGTTCAGCAGGAGCTCAAAGTCGTCTGTTAGCACCTTTTGCAGCGTATCTTCAGGCTGGAACTCCTCTCCTCGAGCGGAACGAATAGATACACTCTGCACGGACTTGTCCTCGGCTTCAATCTGAGCGATGATGTCCGCCACAGTGGTCTCTGCGGGTCAAAAGTTAGTAATCCCTACTTCATTAAAGAGAATAATATAAAATTGATAGCTAGCTATACCTGGAGGAATGCTGAAGACGCGCTCTTCGTCGAATCCGCTGAGAGGAAGCGGAACTGCCAATGTGCACGTCCCATCGTGATATTTGAGCTCGATGGCGCGCGCCTTCCCGTACTGCAGTGGGACCGTGCTGGCGATGGATCGCGCGAGAGTCAAATTCGTCGGGGAGAGACGTCCACGCGAAAGCAAGCGGCCCGATGCCACGCTGGAGAGGAGACCACGACGCCACATCAGAATTAGGAGGAAGGATACTGAGCTGCGGTCGATGCTATGCTTCGGTAACAACCTCCAGGCTATCGACTAATCGTTGGATTGTTAATTGTGTACTTAACGCCGGGTGCTTCCAAAACCCATTTACATGTTAAAACGGTATAATAAGTTTAATCGGTAATTTAAAATAAATTACGCTAAATTCAGGCCGTGTTCGCGACCCCTCGAAAACGTAGTTATCTCGGTCGAAACGACGTTTGGGACTAAGTGCGCGCTCGCGAACACGCCACCCTCGAAACGCAGTATTGGTCGCGTAACGTCGTTTCGGACCCCATTCTCAAATTCATGCCCGGAGGTGAATTTTGTTTGGCCCGTATTTGGCTGGGGCCTAAAGCGACGCGTATCCCCTCAGCACACTGACAAGATCCTGTTAGGCGCCAAAGTTTGCCATTTTTGCTTTCGCGTGCACTGCAAAATCCTCCCCCAAACGACCCGAAGGTGTTCTCGATGAGCACACGAGACGATGCTGCTGCTGCCCAGCGTGCAACGTGGACTAGGGGCGAGGAGCTTGCACTGTTGGAGAGGTACTTTGAGGCACGTAAGGACCCGTCAAAGGCCACGGATAAAGGTGTCAAATCCAAGGCGTGGGAGGAGATCAAAACCACTTTGAACACCAAGCTCAAGAAGACTCTGGACAAAGGTATAGGAAGCTTTTTAGCTAAGGTACTGCGTTTCTAATTTTCGTTCAACAGGGCAATACAAGTCCAAGGTGCAGCGTCTGATACAAGACTACGATTTATTCAAGGAGATTACGTCGCTGAGTGGATGCGGTACCTGCCCTCAAACGGGGAAACCTCTTCTTGATGACGACGTCTGGGATAAACTGATCGACGCCAAACCAACCAAGCTGCGAGGTCGCATCAAGGAGATGCGTAAGAACGGCTTTGAGCACGAGACCATCTGCAGTCTAATTGCAGGTAAGCGATGCATTATTTTCACTGAAATTAAACTAAACTCGTCTGAGCAGGTGATTAAAGAGCGACAGGTGCGGATGCGGAAAGCGTTCAGAGCCTGCTTGGCCTGCTGGAAGACGCCACGGAAGAAGAAGAGTCTGCATTACCGCAGCTTAATGAGGTTTTACTTCCCGACAGTGGCGAGCAAAGCTCTGTGACCACCATCGCTGCCGCGCAAGACCTCCACTTAAGTCACGAGCGTCGTGTGCAGACCGTAAAGCGTATCCGTGATGGAGCTTCAAAGACGCGCCGCAACAAAAACCGAAAGCAGTCACCTTCTGGAGACTTCAACGAGGAACTTGGTGCGCTGTTAAAGACTTTTACCGTCTACATAAAGTACAAAATGCGCCAAGAAATGGGTGACCAAGCCCCACAGTCCGACTCCGCAGCTTTTGCTGCATCGCCTTCGTCGAACGACTGAGCTCGAGATGGCGTATGATGGCACGGGCTAATAACAGGCCAAGGTAACGTGCACGGATGACCAACATGATAGTTTCATTTTCATCGTTCTCTTCAGGAACTTAAGTAACGTAAAGATGATTTTTTCATGCTTATTACTCGCTTACAGAACCACTTTCACTGCCGGAACTGCTTTCGTTGTCAGAATCACTCGTACCGCTTGAAATTTCATCTTCGGGTATGTCGCTGTCATCTTCATTACCCGAGAAGCCTTGATACTCCTCCCACATTGTGCCTGCCATCCAAGATCGCCAATTGTCAGAAGTGTCGAAGTCATACGGAATCGGATCAAAAGTTTCATTTACAGCACGGTGACGACGCGTATCTCGACGAGAAGAGGCGAGATCGGACCCAAGGTCCGATGCATCATACTCACGGATAAAATTGTGCGTTAAAACACAAGCGTAAATGACAGATTTTATCGTCTACATTTCGTAATCCATACATGTGCGGAGGACCTTAAAGCGACGCTTTAAAACTCCAATGGTACGCTCAATAACATTGCGAGCCTTCGCATGTCGTAGGTTAAAAAGTTCCTTTGGGTTGTGTGGGCGACCAACATCACTAGTCGCCCACTCCTTCAGGTGGTATCTTACCCCTCGAAAGGGAGTTAACACCTGTTTACTTAGGCCATATCCAGCATCTCCTAGAACGTAAAAGTGTTCTGGTAATTGGTCGAGCAGAGAACTCCATCGTAGTACAGTCGCATCATGTGCACTTCCCTCAGCTCCCGCATAAGCAAAACAAATTTTCATACTCCAGTTACAAAACAGTAGCACATTGGTCGTGACAAAACCCTTGTGGTTTCTAAAGCGAGCTGTATCCTCAGTGCTTACAACCACTTGAAAGTGCGTTCCATCAATTGCCCCCAAGGCCTGGTGATAATAGGGGTGCTTCAACAAGAAAAACGATGGAGCCTGCTTAGGTATCTCCATCGAGCTGTTTATCGCACGCAAAATCGCTCGAATACCTCGGATTCTATACTTGTGAATCGTAGAAAACGTTAGATCAAATAGTACCTCTTGCATGCGGCATGTAGATGCCGTTCTAATCCAGTGGAGAGCCACCGCCAGTACCTCACGTTGGTTGCGGACGGTGTCGACGATGAACGGTTGGCAGATCTCGAACAATGCGTCAAATGCGGCCACGTCCATCCTGAAGTGATCCCGAAACAGGAAAAAATTTCTTGATGAGTGAATGGCGTCGAAGAGCCGCTGTCCGTCTGCCGTCATCAGACCTAGTACGCGCACCATATTCTCGTGAGCAGCCCGCCTCGACAAGCGGTGGTTCTGCACCAGTCGAGCACACACACCAGCAACAGGAAGATTTCGTCCAGCATTCTTTGTGAAGAGGCAGTCCGTTTGTCCAGGTGTGGGTGGTCAGGGTAAACGCTGGTTGCGTGCGAACAAGAATTGAGCGAAACGACGTTTCACATCGCTGGCCAAATCATCGTCAAAAATAGATTACAGCTCTGAAACGCAGTTTTAGTAAAACGTCGTTTGCCGCGAACACGGCCTTAAATGCGCACCAAAACGGTTGCTGAAATGCGCCCCTTCGGGCATACATGTATATGTAATCATGTGTTTACCGGTAATCACGTTGCTACTTAAAAGTCGGATTAGAATTGTTTTAATGTGCAAGTCACACAGGAATGT